CCCTAGCCAATGTCTTCGGCGAGTATTTGTCCTCATACCTGACCTGCTGCACCCTACTGGTCACGACTTCTCACTATAACCCCAGGTAACTACCTACCTGAATAAGGTAAGTCGCTAGTGAGCATCTCATCGATATTCAAGTGTTGGTTTGTAGGGATTTGATTGGTTAGTTCCAGTATCACATTTCTTTCGCTCGATAGATAGCACAGTTTAACCAAGATGTAACACCAGAACACAAGAGTACTAAATTTAGTTCCAAAATATTCTTTCTTCATACAGAATTTACATGTAAAGTAATAATCTAAAGTATATCATGTGCCAGAGGTTTGTTTGAGGAGAGAAACCATTCTGTAAGATTTTTCTTCGTTTCCTCCAAGCGTATGGTTGAAGGTTAAATCAAAATGTGCGCCAGTTCATGTAGTGATCATTTGATATAAGTGCATGATTACAACAATAAGAAATGAAGAAACGTTTAGGCATTCTAATGGATGGATATTTTGGTAGCCTAGCGATTTCAGCAGGCCGTCGCCTTTGTTTTCGTCAAATTCGTATGGGTGAAATACGTCTACCCTATATAATAAAATCACAATTTGCATATATCTTCGGTATTGTGCTACTTTCGCCTTTCTTTGGTGTTTTCCATGTTGTTTGACAAGAATCATTAATTTCTTCTGTTAACTTATAAAATCCATCTCTCCTCGATTAGATATTCTTTCAGATGATATACATACTTATATCTGCATCTATATACTACTTATAAATCTTATCAGTAGAAAATGATACAAAGAACTGCTGACTTTTATACTCCATACCTCTCCATTTTAATTTCAACATCTTAATATACACTTTTGTAAAGTATATCACGGCTTGAATTATTCCTCAATAATGCTGAGTTATACAGTGTGTAAGTTTACAAAAGTATAATAACACATGCGAACAACTTATTAAAGTTTTTTCTCTTAAATAGCAAAATACAACACGACAAATATGTCTGTCTATTCACTTTTCATTCCATGTGAAATTATAATATAATGAAAAGAAGAAACACACACACGAACCGACTGATTAAATATATTTAGACGAAGAATATAAGCACCATTTTGCCAACTTGTCCATGAGTGTTATTAATTAAAATTATTTTCCATCAAATTTTCCAAAATAATGATTCATTTTTACTTGATTAAAAGTTTTAATTATTTTGCAATAATGTTTGCTATCAGCCAATCAATCAATCAATCACATATGCAGCTTTGTTGCTTGAATTCACTACCTTACAATGGATAATTACATTTGATTCTATTTTCGCTGCAATCTTGAAGCGTTTTTCTTTTGGATAAGTGTTACTCTCTCACATTTGGTTTAAGGCATTTGAATGAAGTTATATAATTGTGTGTGTTAAGACCTTAGAATCTAGGGTATGCATTCTGTCCTATTAAGGACTTGTAATCCCCATTGAATGGCGGTATTCCCACTGAGGTGCGTCGGTGACACAGCGGTTAGGACGCTCGCCGACCACACACAAAGTCCGGGGTTCGATCCCCGGCCACAGACTCACTCCTTCACCTCGCTAAGCCAGAAATAAGACTGGTAAAGAGGAAAGGTTGGGCATGAGGCTAGAAACCCCATCCTGTAAACAAAACACTGGTACAGAAACTTCAAGCCACTAGCTTAAAGCCCTATGTTCCACTGGGGAACGTGAAGGGAAAAAAGAAGAAGATTCCCACTGAGACTCTAACTCTGCATCTATTATTTCATACGTCGAAGTGTTATCCACTCTGCCTCTAGACCACGAGAATCACCCCCTGTGCAAAGAGTATCAGTTATTATTGTCAAAGTTAATTTGTATTTCCCCGTAATCAACATAATTTATCAATCAATCAATCATTTATCGAATCAACCGAGAATACACGCAGCAAAACAAAATATGGGGTATAAAATTGGCATTTGAACCTACAAACTCACTTTAAAAAAGCAAATTATGTTGATTATAGGATCCTGTGAAGGCAATTAAACAAAATAACTTTGTTTATGTAATGTGCCGCAATGATTGTGTGGTGGAATACATAAATATACAGCAATAGGAGAATAGAGTCAGTTCGATTCGGGGAGCATAAAAACTAACAAAATTTAGATTAATCGACCTGAATAAGATAAGAAATTTAGAAAATTACTCGGCTATAACAACTGCATGCAGTTACACAAAACCATACGTCAGGATGGCGTAAGATGACATTCATAAAATCTAATATCTAACAGAGTAAATGTGGGTGGGTGGGGAGACAATAATCTGAAGCTTTATTTATCCAATCAACTGGAAATACGTGCAGTCCATCGGATAATTCTGTTAGAATTCATGGGCCATTGGATCGGGTCCCAGTGGCTCAATGGTCTACGAGCTAGCTCGCCTTGTAACCAGAAGGTCTTGGGTTCAAATCCCGGTGGTGCGTACTGATGAAGAGTCCCAATCTAGGACAAAACAGCTGTCCAGTACTCCAAGGTTTTCCAATGGTTCTCTAATTGATGTCAGCTCATGATGAAATCTTGTAACCAACCAAATCCCTACAAAGTAACACTTAAATTCTGTTTCATTGTGTGATATATTCAATAAACAAATTGATACAGAATTACATGCTTCCAAAGTGTCCAAGCTCTACACATATATGAATATTATGCTATAAAATGATAATTTTCAGGACGGACTGATGGATTGAGTTTCAGTGTAGAATTAATGATAATTATTATTTCAAGAGTTTATACACAATGATAAGTTTTTTGTTTTGGAAATTTTGCTCGAAATATTACCCAAGCAAAGAACTTATCATTGTATTTTCTATGGTTTGGTTTGTAAGGGTTAGTTATGTTTTCACGAGTTGACCACGGATTGATATCAGTTAGAGAACCATTGAAAACCAGCAAGGAGTACTGGACAGTTGTTTCTTCCATCCTAGTTCCGGAATCATCGGCGGTACGTACCCACCACCAGGGTTTGAACTCAGGACTTTCTGGTCACAAGGCAAGCTCGTATACCATTCAACCTCTGGGACCCAATCCAATGGTATACGAGCTTGTCTTGTAACCGGAAGGTCCTCGGTTCGAACCCTGGTAGCGGGTGCGCGCTGCCAATGATTCCGGAACCAGGATGGAGAAACAGCTGTCCAGTACTCCTTGCTGGTTTTCAATGGTCCTCTAACTGATATCATTGTGTGTCCACTGTTAGAATGCAATGATAACTAATTTGATCTATTCCACAATACATAAACTTTTCAATGACATTAATTCAACGTAGAAATTTGCACAAAAGTGCAGTAGTTCAAGATACCACACTTCATAATGTAGAGAGAGAGATAAAAAAAGGAAAATGCAGAGGAACTTCAGTGACAGAAAATGTTCACTAGAAAGAATAAGTACACGAAGAGAAATGGGAATTTAATAGATCAAGGAGTTTATAAAGAATGGTTATATTCTCAATATTGGGAAAAAGCATTGATAAATAGGTCATACTTACTCAGTGGTTGTGTAATCATAAAAGTCTTACTGTTACATTTGACACTCCTTGCATCCCAAGTGAAACTTAAAGAGTCAAGATTTTGAAGTTTCAGTAGCATTGGTATTATTTTTACGCGGCAGAGTTGCTAGCTTCAAACATCTAACCTTGCCTTTTTTACGGACCTACTGTCGTCTAGTAAACTAGGCGACGTTTAGAAATACGTCGATTTAGAGTCAAACACCGCGACACGTGCATGATTAACAGGCATTGTAACGGTGAACCACTGATTCATGTTTTATTACTTGAAAAATGTCGGATAATACTTTATGGCAAGAGAAAAAATTGGAAGGAATAACACGATATAACAAGAATAAGGCTGTAATACATCATATATCTGACTGACTGGCTGCAAAGTAGGTCTTTGCACAGATATGCAGCGGTTCAAGTTACCACTCTCTCCCCATACAGCACACAAAGCAAAGGAAGAGAGTTTCAAAAGAGAGATAACAAATAGAAGTATGAGGCAAAAAGAGTAGTAATACGGAAGAATTATCATTGAATACGATAAATCACAAAGAGTGAATGCTTCTGCGCCAGCCCTCAGTGAGGAAAATTTTGAGGTTCATCACCAATTATCTCAAGCCTTCATTGGTTTTTACCATCCCGAGAACACCAACCAGTCTGGAAGTTTACACCTCCCGACGAAGCTGGCTGGCTTAAACTAATTGTTACGGATTTCATTGACTGATGAAACCATGTTTTAGTTTGACCACTGCTAGTTGTCTCTTTTCCAACTTTATCCATCCTGTGTCAGTCAGCTGGCATTGCCCGTCAATCGAGGAAGGCAATGGCTAGACAGGCATGCGTCCATCTCAATCGACGGAACTTCACAACTTCATCGATTGATTTCCTCTTCAAACTACTTAGCACTCGATCGATGACTTACCTTATTATTGCTCACATTGTTATACTACAAATGAATACGGGAAATGGAACGCAGACACCTATGATCAAAGGCAGCTAGCCTCGTTATGTCTTCCACTTTCAATATCCACGTCTCACAGTCAGCCATAAAGGAGGACAGAGTGAACTGCTGAGCAGTACACACGCCGTTTGGCCAACAGCCAGCTGGATATCACTTCTACTAAGCCACAGATGGTGTAAGTTGGCTCACAAATGCCAAACGACCCTTTTGTATCCATGATGAGACTTCATCAGCGACTAACCAGCTGGCACTGGCTGATGCAACTACTCCCAAATAAGTGAAGTGGTCAACACGCCCCACCAACTACTTCACTCTTGCCTATCTTGAAGCTGGGAGTAATCCATTTAGTCCAGTTCTGTAGCCTCATCATCCTACATTTGACAAAGCGAGCGAATCGCACGCCAAAATATACCGTATAGAGTAAATTTCTTTCTAAATTTTAAAATCTATTGTTTTAAATTTCATTTCGAAGGTATATGTATGCACAAATTACTAAATATTTTGTATATATACATCATTCTCTTTCAGTTAGCTTCATTAAAAGATCAATTAATATTAGAAGCAAATAGACCTCACCAAATGACAGGCACTGGAAATAAACTACAAACAACCCTGCCAACAAATATAACATCATCAACAACTGCTCGACGTTCACTAGAACGTAATAAACCTATTGGACAAAATGATTTAACACTGAAATCATCATTATCCAGCAGTGATGTACGTCGAATGATAGACAATGCGAATACAGAAAATCGTATACCAGCATCAAGATATGCATCAGGTAATCGACCAACTAGACTACCAAGAAGATGATGACGATGATGATGTTGATAGTTAAATGACATGACAAAAAACTGGGAAATTTATAAGACGCTTTATTTAGGTCAACAATTATTCTTCAGGGGTTTATATATATATATATATATATATATATATGATATACAAACTGACTGCATCAATTAACTAGTTGACTATTCTAATTTTATTCCTTATATATACATATGTGTAAACTCTTTTTTTGAATATATATCGTATATACACGTATACACGTATATGTGCTATGCTTGTCCATTTCGCCTACTGTTCAGTATCTCTTTCATTCGTCTAAGCTCTTTCTATAATATATCTGATCTCAAAAAGTAAAGGCAAGTATGTCTTTCTAAAGAGAGGAATTAAAAATTAAACTTTAAGGTTTATACCTAATCAACTTATAATATTACCTAACTACCTACTTACTTATCAGTTCAATGAATCAGTTAACAAGGTTGTTATTAGTATTACTGATAATACAAAAAATAGTAGTATATACTTTTTGAATTTCAGAAAATAGATTTGATTTTTTATCTTCTAAAACCAAATAACCTAACAGAACAGTAGGCACTCTTTTGTTTAAATAATATAATAGTGAACGAATTTTGATGTATGAAATTTTATAAAAATAATGAGCTATTCACCACCCGTACCCCTACCCCACCCTGAAAAATAAATACATGATAGCAATAAATAATATAAAATGAAAATATAATTTTTCCCTTGGATATAAATAATAAAATTCATTAATTGAAATGAAGTAAAATAATGGTGCATATATTTCTAATTTTCATCCCATGGATAAATGTAATATGGTATTCACATGAGAAAGGAATATTAAGGTTTGACTAATACGCCTATATTAGTAGTAGTAGTAGTAGATGATATGGTATGATAAATTAAATTAAGACAATTTAGGGCTCCAAATGGAACATATCCATTTCATATATATATATATATATATATATATTGAAATTAGTGGTGAAAATTCGGATTTTGTTCCCTATATTGAATGTAGTAGCTTTCCAAAGTGATTTCAGATTAATAGAGGTCTGTCTCGCTGTTTTAACTGAACTGAACTGACACATCGCCACATTGTTATATCTACACCTGTTAATTACTATAAGGGTAATGAACTCGACTGGTACGCTAACACGTCTATTGGTCCGTGGTACCTTCCGATTCAGCGAGCCACGCAAATATCAAAAGACAAAGGTTGGCCTGTGACTGGTAAGATATTGTATTATATATTTTAGGGAACAACACATGATATTTATACATTTTCTTTACCATAATAAAGTCGGCTCAAAGGCCTGAGGATGGATTGTTGTTATTGGCTATAAATGTCTATTTTGATTGGTTGGTGATCCAAAAAAGACCAAGGTGAAACAAAAGACGATAAATTGATTTCATACACTAAATCACAATATGCGTGAGAAATGATACATTAACACAGTAACTCCATTACCAGATCAATCACACGATTTGTGAGAAAGGATGATATACTATTTTATGCTGGGTCCTATCTGATCCTGGCTGGCTCTGACAATTTCATCCGTGACGCCTGTAGTTGAAGCAATAGTGGTTTAATATTTTCCCCCTTGTATTAAGCATAATGGTTTATTCAGATGAACTGTCGTCAAGATTTGACTGAATAGACCCAAAAATATTTGGGCGCCGAGTGAGAAGTAGACATTTGTAAAATCTCAGCAAGATTGAAATGAACAATTCCAACATTTCGTTTGGCAATCTGGTCCGAACCTCTTCAGGGGAATTAGTCGAAATTAACATGACAGAAGTTTATATTTAAAAGGAATACCTCTACTTTTTATAAACTTTGTCCAATCTGAGTCATGAAACAAGTATCAACAAGTATAACAAACAAAATTCTATGAGCTGTGATCAAAATTTGACCTCGGACTTACAAATATTGGTCTACGTTTATGAACACCTTAAACAGAGTGTGTATATGTGTGTGGGTAAACAGTTGTAGAACATTTCTTAACGTCTCCATAGGAAGATATAGACAGTCAGGAACTTTAACCAACTATTATTAGTTAGTGATACATATCCATTATTTTTTATTAATCAGGATTTCCTATGCATCAGCTAACATTACACCTTCATGTCTGTTCAAACTGCTAGTATCTAGAATTTTATAATTAGACGTATTTTCAAAATTATGGTGTTTAGGATTAGAGTTTAGTTGAAGCCCCCTGTCGAACTTATTGCTTTGTCTTCTTTCTGAATATTGAGCTGCTTTATTCGAACTACTGGAGTTGTCAGGTGACTGGACAGCTACGAATTTAGGATATGCATTCTGTTGTACACAACGGAGATTGAAAACACGATGATTGTGCCAATTACATAGTTTCTTTGTTAATTTAATTCGATTGCAAAATAATTCAAATGAACTGTCGTCAAGATTTGACAGAATAGTTCTAAAATATTTGGGCGCCGAGTCTTGATACTTGTTTTATGACTCATGATTGGACAAAATTTTTAAAAATAAGAGATGTTCCTTTGATAATATAAACCTCTGTTAGGTTAGTTTCGATCAATTTCCCTGAAGAAGTTCAGAGTGGACTGCCGAACGAAACGTTGTAATTACTCATTTCAATCTCGCTGAGATTTTACGAATATAGTTTTTTACATAGTGGCTTATTGTTCAATCCATAGGAGACAAACCATTAGGACATGTAGAAAATGAAAGCGAATGATTCCGTGAAAAGACCTCATACGGAATTTGTTACCAAGTTGTCATATATATATATATATATTGAATAAAGAAAGAACGAACATATTTGTAGGATAATACCAGCTCGTTTTATTTCCTGGATTCTCTTCAACTGCGTACATCACAAATAAATCAATTATATGTTTCAAAATACCATCTTTTTATGATGATTTCAAGTGATGGATAGATAGTATGAGCAACATAATTTCAAAGATTATGTGAGTAGACCATTATTTATGGTTCGCAACAATATGGATCAAATATTCACGATGTTCAAAAACCTGAGTGAGACTCACATTCATATAGCATTTATAACAGACCATAAATTTAACAATCATTTCCACTTCTTAGATCTCAACATAAAAGGAAGAAATGACGGGACGGTTGAAAAACCCATCTACAGGAAAGAAACTTGAATTAGCCAATACTTGAACTATCACAGTTTCTCCACGATCGGCTACAAACGGAGGTTGGTGAAAACCTTCTTCAGCAGAGCAAGGGTATTGTGTTCATAAGATAAGATCGATGAGAAACTCGCAGTCATCGAAAAAGGATACCTTTGGAAGTTCATATCAAAATATGGGAAGGAAAAACTACTAAAACTGAAACTCGAAGTAATTGAAAAGAAACCAGTATTTATCTCTCTGGCCTACAAAGACGAAAAAGTATCCATAAGAATTAAAAATCCATTGATAAAAAAAATATTTCCCGCCGCTGGACTCATTCCACTTTAAAACACAATACGCTCGTTAATCCAGCTAAAAGTAGATAAGTATCCTGCTCATGTCAACTCAAACTGAATTCACTGGTTCATTTGCACTAGTGGCAGCAATTACATAGGAAGTACTAACAGGATAGCGTTTACTAGATTCTCCGAGCATATCTCTAGAAGTGTCCATTTGAAAGGCAGCAAAGTATTCTCAAGCGCAATCGCCAGACACAGTGGAAATTACTCAGGCTTTCAAAATAATCAATACACAAAGAAAAGCATGGTTGCTTTGGTTCGCAGAAGCCGTAGCCATAAAAACACTTCGACCCAACCTATGCATACAGAAAGATAGTGTGTCTAATCTCTCATTACCCTAGTAATCATAACTGTTTTGTTCGTGAGCTTTTGTGTTTCGTTCTGTTGTATAATATTCCACTCGATCTTGATTTTCACTCACTGAGTCGAACTCACTATTCAGGTTCCAAATCTGCTAAATTAAATTACTTTATCTGTTTTATAATTTTACTTCACTATTCAACCTCCCCTCTCCTGAACTCACCATCATAATATGTATAAATTAGCCCTGTTGTTCTTAATTGTATTTTGTCCCTATTTCATCCTTGTTTCCAATCGAAATCTGAACACCACCCTTTTGTTTCATTATTATTATACAAATAGTTACTCTTTTAACATTAAATAATTGTCTACTCACATCATCTTTAAAATTATCTTGCTCATACTATCTATCCATAACTTGAAATCATTGTAAAAAGCATGTTCAAATGCTATTTTGAAACATATAATTGATTTTCAAGTGTTGGTTTGTAGGGATTTGATTGGTTACAGGATTTCATCATGAGCTGACATCAGTTAGAGAACCACTGGAAAACCTAGGAGTACCGGACAGCTGTTTCGTCCTAGTTGATTTATTTACAGGATTTCATCATTAGCTGACATCAGTTAGAGAACCACTGGAAAACCTAGGAGTACCGGACAGTTGTTTCGTCCTAGTTTGGGACTCTTCAACAGTATGCACCCGTCGGGATTCGAGCCCATGACCTTCTGGTTACAAGGCGAACTCGTAGACCATTAAGCCACTGGGACCCGATCCAATGGCCCATGAATCCCGGTGGGTGCGTACTGCTGAAGAGTCCCAAACTAGGACGAAACAGCTGTCCAGTACTCCCAGGTTTTCCAATGGTCCTCTAACCAATGTCAGCCCATGATGAAATCCTGTAAACCAATGAAATCCCTACGAACCAACATTTGAATATAAATGATTTATTTGTAATGTACGCAGCTGAAGAGAATCCACGAAATAAAACTAGCTCGTATTATCCTATAAATACCTTCGTTCTTTCTTTATTCAAACTAATACAGAGAACCGAGTGTATGAAAGATATATATATATATATATTGAAAAAATGTTGACTGAGATAGAATATTCGTGATCATAGTCATGATTAAACAGTAAGCGACAAAATAGGCTATGTATTTTTACAAAATAGTTCGTGGAATTTTATAAATCTTAGATGTGCGTGTGTAATTAACAAAACTAGTAGGCAATTAAGACATCAGATAACAAGGCGAGAATTTTTGATAAGGTAACAAAACAACCACACTGAATTAAGTAAATAAAGGTGATAACTGAGGTAATATGGGAAATTGATCAAAGTTACAATTATTATAATACCAGTCGAGATAATAATAGATGGATATACACAAAAACAAAAAAAAAAAAAAGAAAAAAAAAACCATTTTAAAAATTACCACCATAATATTTTACTATAGACGAAAGAGGACTAAAAAAAAAAAAATGGTAAAACAGACTTTTCTCGTATAAAAAGGACGGGTTTTTCTTTTCCCAGGCCCAGGAGCTATAAAAATACAGATGAGTTAGACAGCGGACAGTCAGATCAAAACAGGTTTTTTTT